AAAAAAATTTATTTAGGCTTTCTAACTCCCTTATTCTTGTAGCAGTTTAAACTTTGAGTTTTTAAAATATCATAAATTTAGTTTTTATGAATGTTTTAAATTAGTTTGGTAATGGAAAAATACCATAATTTTTAATTTTCTCTATTATTTTGTAGATCAGAATGAAATGAAATAAGAAATATCAGTTAAATACTTTATTTTTAACTTGACTTTAATTTTTTAGTTCATTCCATACAATTTATGTTTGCTTTTTTATTCATTGGAGATATGAAAGTAGCTCAACTTAATATAATTTGTAATAGCAAAGCCAAATTCAATCAAGGATTTTCACAAATAATTATGAAAAGTTGAAGATTCTCAATCATAATTTGCATGATGACAATGCTAATTATGATAGGAGCATGATTAATCTTTTCAAATTTAAAGTATATATCACTCTTGTGATAATTCTTAAAATTGTAACATAATCTATTATTCCTTAATGTAAACTTCCATTCTCTTTTTTTATTAACAATGCTATCAGTTGTAGATCAATCTTTCAACTTAATTATTAGTCAATTTCGTTAAAATAACATTTATTCTAACATAACTCTATAACATTTCACTATTTCTTATAAGTTAATATTCATAAAATGAGATTACTCTTTAATGTCCAAAAAAATTTTCCTTCAGATTATTAAAGTTCATTAACAGATCTATAGAAAAGGATTTGATAACTTTTTTGGGTGAAAAAAAGTATTTCATTAACAAATTTATTAATAAACTTATATTTGGAGTTATATAATTTATTTTATTAGGAATTGTTTAATTTTATATTATTAAATATATTAATTTAAATTTATTCAGGTTTACTTTTGGTAGCTGGATTAATCTTGATATTGGATGATGAAATATTTGGAAAATAAACTAATTTTTCTTCCAAAATCCATTAAAGAATTAGCAGATCGTAATCATAGCACACGATTGATTTGTATATAATTAAGAACCTTAAGATTTAACTTTGTATAGATGATTACTGATATTTAGAAAAGAGGAGGACTTTAATACTGTTTCCTTATTATTTGGGTCAAAAGATCTATCTTTCATTGATGTCACAAAAACACATAGTTCATCCATCAACCTTTACATTTCACTATAATTCAATAATACTTTTTGAAATACTCTTCCTTCATAAAATCACTATTACGATTAAATCTGTGTTTAGTGCAAACTGAATTCTTAAAAGTTTTTTTCTCTATAAGTATTATTATAACAACTCTTAAGATTCTCAACTTTTTTGTATAAATTTAGTAAAATCAAATTTAACATAAGCAAATGGCCAACCAACAATTATGTGAGAGTTTTTTTAATTTAATGGTTTAATGACTTCTTTTATTCATTTTAAATACAATAACAAATCTATTAATAAGAATGAAAAAATAATATTTAAAAATTATTTTCACTTTTATTTTATCACAAAGTAAAATTAGAACAACTTAATTCAGCTAAAAAAATCAATTTTTTCTAAATTTTTG